TTTAATATGTATAGGGCTTTGAGTCTTAGAAAGTCCCACTCATATATATTATCCTTTCCTGGTTGTGGGTTTTTCATTATGCTTCGAAAACTGTTCATGCTGTGGATTTGGGCTTTTAGAATTGTTCCTAGCTTTCCTTTGGTGAGTTTTATAGTCTTTGGCTTTACATTTAGGTCTCTGATCCACCTTGAGTTTGGTTTTGTGTATGGTGTGAGGTGTGGGTCTTGCTTAAGTTTTCTGCAGATGGTTTTAAAATTTTGCCAGCACCATTTGTTAAACAGGCTGTCATTTCCCCACTTAAATGATTTTTTTCCCATTCTCAAAGATCAGTTGACCGTAGGTGGTTTTTGTTATTATGTACCATTGAGTTGCTCGCAAATCATAGTGACCCTATGTACAACTACTCTGAACCCTGCCATATCCTGAGTCAATCCATCTCATCCAGGGTCTTCCTCTCCTGCACTGTCCCTCCACTCTTCTAAGCAGGATGTCCTTCTCCAAGGACTGGGAATGTACCCTAAGTATATGAGACGGAGCTTCAAAATCCTTACCCATAAAGAGCAGCGTGGTTCTACCCTCTCCAAAACAGACCTGTTTGTTCTTTTGGCAGTCCACAATATGTTCAGCACTCTTTTCCAGCACCACAACTCAAAGGCATCAATTCTTCTGTCATCCTTAGTTATTGTCCAGCTATTTAATGCATAGCAAGTAATTGCAAAGATCATGGCCTGGATCAGTTGCACCTTAATCTCCAGACTGACATCATTGTTCTTCAGTACTCTAGAGAGCTCCCTGGCAGCCAATTTTCCTAGGACAATTTGTCTTAATTTTCTGACTGCTAGAGCCAAGAGTGTTGATTGTGAAGCCCAACAAGCAGAAATGGTTAACATTCTCAATCTCTTTTCTGTCTTCCATGATACTGCCAGTTGGCCCAGTGGTGAGAATCTTTGTTTTCTTGATGTTGAATTAAAATCTCTATTGCAGCAAAACCCCCAGTTTCAGCAAGCAAGGTTGTATCTACATAACACAGGTTGTTGATGAGACACATTGCTCCTCATATTTAGTTTTCCTATCCATAAGCATGGTATATTCCATGAAGAAATAAACCTCTCTTGAAACAAATGAGAATGAAAACACAACTTAATAAAACCTCGAGGAAACAGCCAAACAGTACTTAGAGGTCAGTTCATACCAATAAGCACATCAAAAAGAAAGCAAGAAAGTCAATTATTTAAACCCAACATCTCCAACAATTAGAGAAAGAACAGCTACAAAACCTGGCAACCTTTAAAAGAAAGGAAATTATAAAAATCAGGGCAGAAATAAATGGAATAAAAAATGGAAAAACAATTGAAACTCCCAAAAAAATCAGAGTTGGTTCTCTGAAAAGGTCAATAAAATTGACAAACCACTAGCAAAGCTAACAAAGGAAAAGAAAGAAAAGACACAGATAATCCAAATAAGAGATGAAAAGGGCAATGTCACAACAGAACCAACTGAAATTAAAGTTTAATAATGGAATTTTATAAAAAAACTAAAATATGAAAACCTAGTGGAAACTCACAATACACCCAAACTGACACAGATGGAAATAAAATACCTGGACAGACCCATCACAAAAGAAGAAATTGATCAAGTCATAAAAATCCTTAAAACAACAATGCCCTGGACCAGAAGGTTTTACTAGTGAATTTTTCCAACGTTCAGAGAAGAGCTGTCATCAATTCTACATGATGTATTTCAGTAAATAAAAAAAAAATGATATGGCATATTCCCAGACTTATCCTGTGATGCAAACATATCCTTGATACCAAAGTCAGGTAAAGACACTACCAAAATAGAAAACTATACACCAGTATCTTTCATGAACACAGATGCAGAAATCCTCAACAATATCCTGGCCAATAGAATTCAACAGTGTTTGTGTGTGTATGTGTATATATATAATTCATAGTGACTATGTGGGATTTATAATTGTGCATTATATTGAACCATACCAGAGTCACTGTATCAGAAAGAAGTGATTGACACTGAAAAATTTCAGGAAGTACCATATGAACAGGAGCCAGTGGTAATGGAGGAAGTGAAACTGCATTGAAGGCATTGATGAAAAATAGACCCCTGGAATCAGTGGGATACCAATTGACTTGTTTCAATTAACAGATGCAGCCTTGGATGCACTCACCAGTCAATGCCAGGAAATTTAGAGGATGGCTGGCTGGCCAATGGATTGGAAGAGGTCCATATTTGTTCTCATTCCCAAGAAAGGTGATTCAACTGAATGTGGATATTATCCAGCAATATCTTTGATATCACATGCAAGCAAAATACTGGTGAAGATCATTAAAAACCAGCTGGAACAGTACATAGATAAGGAACTTCCTGCCAGAAGTTCAAGTAGGATTTAGAAGAAGCCGTGGCACCAGAGATAGTATTTGTTGTTCTTGTTATTGTTATGTGCCATCGAGTCACTTGCAGCTCATAGCGGCCCTATGTACAACAGCCCTAAATGCCATTCTATCCTGTGCTAACCTCACCGTCTCAAATGCACTCATCCCCACCATCCCAATCACAGAATCGATCCATCCCATCAAGGGTCTTCCTCTCCTTCCACTCTCCGAAACATGATGTCCCTCTCCAAGGACCAGTCCCTCCTTGCAACATGCCCAAAGTATGTCAGACGAAGCTTCAGAATCCTTGACTCCAAGGAGCAGTCTGGCTTCACGCTCTCCAGGACAAACCTGTTTGTTCTCCTAGCAGTCCACGGTATTATATTCAACACTCTTCACCACCAGCACAGCTCAAAGGCATCAATTCTATCATCCCTAGTCACTGTCCAACTCTCTGATGCATAGCACGTAATCGTGAAGACTATAGCCTGGATCAGGCGCACCTTAGTCTCCAGCCTGATGTCGTTACTCTTCAGTACTCTTGAGAGGTCCCTCACAGCTGACTTTCCCAATGTCTCTTGATTTCCTGGCTGCTGTTACCAAGAGTGTTGACTGTGGAACCAAGTAAACTAAAACTGTTAACTATCTCAATCTCTTCACCATCCATACTGATCCTGCCAATTGGTGATGTCAAATGGATCCTCACTGAAAGTAAGGAATACCAGAAGAATGTCTATTTGTGCGTTTGACTGTGTGCATCATGACAAGTTGTGGCTGACATTGAGAAAAGTGGGAATCCCAGAGCACTTGATTGTGCTCATTCGGAACCTATACCTGAGTCAGGGGAGCACTGCATGGTTTGGATTGGGAAGGGAGTACGTCAGGGCTGTATTCTATCTCCATACCTGTTCATTATGTATGTTGAGCAAATTATCTGAGAAGCTGGATTCTATGAAGAGAAATGTGGCATTAGGATTTGAGGAAGACTCACCTGCATTATGCAGATGATACAACCATACTTGCTCAAAGTGAGGAGGACTTGAAGCACTTGTTGCAGAAGATCAAAGAATGCAGCCTTCAGTAAGGATTGTCTCAATATCAAGAAAACAAAGATTCTTACCATTGGACCAATAGGCAGTGTCATAATGGATGGACAGGAGATTGAAATGGTCAACAGCTTCATCTTGCTTGGATCCACAGTTAACACCCTTGGTATGAGCAGTCAGGAAATGCACAATGCACTGGGAAAATCTGCAGTTAGGAACCTTTCCAAATTATTGAGGAGTAGTGATGTCAGTTTGAGGACTAAGGTATGTCTCATTCAGGCCATAGTCTTTCCAGTTACAAGCTATGAATCTGGACAGTGGATAAGGATAACAGAAAAGACCTGGACAGAGCATAAGGATGACAGAAAAGAATTGACACCTTTGAGCTATGGTATTGGAGAAGAGCACTGAACATCCCATGGATGGCCAAGAGAACAAACAGATGTGTCTTGGGGAAGGTGCAGCTGGAGTGCTCTTTTGAGGCAAGAATGACGAGGCTTCACTTCACATACTTTGGACATGTTGCTAGGAGGTGCTATACCTTGGAGAGGGACACGATGTTGGGAAGGGCGGAGAGTCAGTGAAGGAGAGAACACCTTCAACCATGTAGATTGATACAGTGACTGCTGCAATGAGCTCTTGTGTGTCAGGCAATGTGAGGATGATGCAGGATAGAACAGGGTTCAGAACTTTTGTTCATAGGGTCACTATGAGTTGTACGTGACTAGACGGCACCTAACAACACAAATATATACATAATAAAAAATGCACACTCAGGAAATGTCCTGTTATAACTCAGTGACAATCTTTTTTTTTCAAATGGATATCCAGTAGAAAAGAGTATTCTTTTACTACTGAATTGTCTTGGCATCTTTCCCAAAGATCACTTAATCTCAAAAGACTGAATTTTAAGCACAGGTTTGACACAATTACTTCTTTTTTTGGCTAAAGGTGAGTTTTTATTCTAGGTTTGAAGAATGGTTTAAGGCCAGTCTTGGAGTTTACACCAGCATATCAGACCAAAGAGCCAGTTTTTTTATATATTTACCAGTTCACTACTAGAAAATACAAATGTTTTGGAAATTAGACTATATTATTCTAAGTAACCCTTTGGTTAAAGAAGGAAATATAAAGTCATTTGAGCTGGATGATAATGAAAACACAGCAAATAAAAATTTGTGAGATGAACTAAGTCAGTGTACATATGGAAACGTACGAGTGTTAAATGCTCATATTACAAAATAAGATCTAAAAAGTGTAAAATCAAATTCCATAAGCATCTACCCAAGAATCTATTTCAAGAGCCAATTAAACTGGAAGTAGAAGGAAATGATCAAGTTTTGCAGACATTAAAACAAGGAAAAATTATGAACAAATGCTAATATAGCAATTTAGATTAAAAGACATAATTACTTTTACTATTATTTTATAACATGAGCACTGGCTACTCTGTAGACTGTATTAGAAGAGGCCAAGACTAGAGTTAAGGAGACTATTGGGTAGGAAGTTGCAATTATATAGGTCACATATACTGGTAACTTGGGCCACAGTCGTAGCAGTGGAGATGGAGAGGAGGTTAGTTAAAATATACTTGGGAAATAAAATTAGTAGAACTTGGTGACTGCTTGTGTATTTGTTAATAAAAAGAGGGGAATGATCAAAGATGAGTTAAATTTTGAGGGTTTTTAAAATGTTTTAATTTTTATTATTTTTTGTGCATGTACCATCAAATCAGATCTGACTGGTACAGGAAGAGATTGTCCCTCCTTCTCCAGCAGAGCATCTGGTGGTTTCAAACCGTGCACCTCTGGGATTGCAGTGCAGCTTCTTGCCACTAGGCCACCAGAGCTCCAAATTTTGAGTTTTAATGAAGGATAATGTTCATGTTTCTAATTTGGGTGATTATGTAGTCATGTCATTTATTACCAGAGTGTGAGAAACTTTTTAGGGAGGATAATGAATTTACTTTGGAGCAAATGTAATTTGAGATTACATATGACATTTTTGGGCAGTAGGCAGTTGAAATATCTAGAAAAGAACTTGGGCAAAAGCTCTGGATTAGAGAGAATGAATGTGAATCATCAGCATATAGATGGGAGTAGAAACTCTGTAAAAGCTCAAGAAGAGATTATAAAGAGTGACAAGAGGGCCCAGGAAGATAAATAGTCCATAGGCATTCAGTGGAAAGAGGGAGTGACTAATAATGTCACATTCTTCAGGAAGGTCCAGAAAAATAGTCTGAGAAGTGTCCATCTTTTCTTTGCCCACACACATAGTTTTATTTGTTTTACGTATCATTCCATACTTTTGTACATTGTTTTCCTTAACTAGTACCTGAAGGTGTAGCTGGTAGTGTCTGTTGGATATTTGTGTCTTCAGTTGACACCAGCTTTCATCTTTTATCTTCTAATATTTCTCATCCTGGATTGAGGATATTAAAAGCTTATTAATTATATTTTGTATTCCAAAATGGACTTTAAGTGGTTCTTGGGATGAATATTTAATCTTTTTCCTTTCTTTCTAATTGTATTTTCTTTTAAACTTTTTTTACAGGTATGTGAAAGAGGCCAAAGAAGCTGTTAAGAATGGAGATCTAGATGAAGCATTTAAACTTTTCAATTTGGCAAAGGATATTTTTCCCAATAAAAAGGTGATGAGTAGAATAAAGAAAATACAGGAAGCTTTGGAAGAGTTGGCAGAACATGGAGACGATGAATTCACAGATGTGTGCAGTTGTGGCCTCCTGCTTTATCGAGAACTGCATGACCAACTATTTGAGCACCAGAAGGAAGGTGTAGCTTTCCTCTATAGTTTATATAGGGAAGGAAGAAGAGGTGGTATTTTGGCAGATGATATGGGATTAGGGAAGACTGTTCAAGTCATTGCTTTCCTTTCTGGTATGTTTGATGCCGCACTTGTGAATCATGTGATGCTGATCATGCCAACCAATCTCATAAGCATGTGGGTAAAAGAATTTGTCAAGTGGACTCCAGGAATGAGAGTCAAAGCTTTTCACGGTCCTAGTAAGGACGAACGTACCAGAAATCTCAATTTGATTCAGCGAAGGAAAGGTGTCATTATTACTACATACCAAATGTTAATTAATAATTGGCAGCAGCTTTCAAATTTTAATGACCAAGAGTTTGTGTGGGACTATGTTATCCTTGATGAAGCACACAAAATAAAAACTTCATCTACTAAGTCAGCAATAAGTGCTCGTGCTATCCCTGCAAAGAATCGTATCCTCCTCACAGGGACACCAATACAGAATAATTTACAAGAATTGTGGTCCCTATTTGATTTTGCTTGTCAGGGGTCCCTACTAGGGACATTAAGAACCTTTAAAATGGAGTATGAAAATCCCATAACTAAAGCAAGAGAGAAGGATGCTACCACAGAGGAAAAAGCCCTGGGATTTAAAATATCAGAAAACTTAATGACAATCATAAAGCCCTATTTTCTCAGGAGGACTAAAGAAGAGGTACAGAAAAAAGTGTCAAAAAACCAAGATATCAAACTTGGTGAAATGAATCCAAATGTTGATGCCATTTGCCAAATGCCTTCACTTTCCAGGAAAAATGACTTAATTATCTGGATACGTCTTGCACCACTACAAGAAGAAATATACAGGAAATTTGTGTTACTGGACCATATCAAAGAGTTGTTGATGGAGACACGCTCACCTTTGGCTGAGCTAGGTGTCTTAAAGAAGTTGTGTGATCATCCTAGGCTGCTGTCTGCACGGGCTTGTTGTTTGCTGAATCTACAGAGGCCCAAATTCTCTTTTCAAAATGAAAAGAATAGGGAAGAGTTTTCAGATATGAGCCATATTAATCAAGTAACTGATGATACATTGATGGAAGAATCTGGAAAAATGATCTTCCTAATGGACCTTCTTAAAAGACTACGAGATGAAGGGCATCAAACTCTGGTCTTTTCTCAATCAAGACAAATTCTAAACTTCATTGAACATCTCTTAAAGAATAAGCATTTTAAGACACTGCGAATTGATGGAACAATTACTCATCTTTTGGAGCGAGAAAAAAGAATTAACTTATTCCAGCAAAATAAAGATTACTCTGTTTTTCTGCTTACTACTCAAGTTGGTGGTGTTGGTTTAACATTGACTGCAGCAACTAGAGTGGTCATTTTTGATCCTAGCTGGAACCCTGCGATTGATGCTCAAGCTGTGGATAGGGTTTACCGAATTGGACAAAAAGACAATGTTGTGGTTTATAGGCTAATCACTTGTGGGACCGTGGAGGAAAAAATATACAGAAGACAAGTTTTCAAAGACTCATTAATAAGACAAACTACTGGTGATAAGAAGAATCCTTTCAGATATTTTAGTAAACAAGAATTAAGAGAGCTCTTTACAATAGAGGATTTTCAAAGCTCTGCAACCCAGCTACAGCTTCAGTCTTTGCATGCGGCCCAAAGAAGATCTGATAAAAAACTGGATGAACATATTGCCTACCTGCACACTTTGGGAATAGCTGGAATCTCAGACCATGATTTAATATACACACATGATCTATCTGTCAAAGAAGAGTTTGATGTGACAGAAGACTCTCAATATATCCAACATAGAGTTCAAAAAGCTCAATTCCTTGTTGAATTAGAGTCTCAAAATACACAGCACCAAAGGGAAAGACAAAAGACAGTAAGTGAAGGGGCCTGGCTGACAGAACCTGTGTTTACTTCTCAAGTAAAGAAGAAATGCCCTAAGTTGAATAAATCACCGTTTCAGCCTTTGCCACTCATAACTAATCCTCATAGCCAGGAAGAAGATGTAATCATTAATGATCTGACTGAAGATCTAGCAAGTGTAATCATTGATGATCTAGCTAAACAGAGTGAGAAACAAGACCTCTCCGATATAAATATTTCTGTCCTACAAGATGGTAGGGACACATATGAAAAGAAATTTGATCCCAAGTTTGTAGCTACTTCACCCAGAGGGTGTGGAACTATACAAGATACTGGCACTGAATCTTTACTAGATATAGCCAAAAGCTTTATATATGACAGTGAGGCTTTTAAAAAGGAAGCATTGCAAGAGAACCCTCTGGGAAGTTTTAATTATTTGCTTAACAAATCAATCAGAGCTGATCCTGACCCAGACCTAGATATACTGAAGGATGGTGAAATTCTCCATCACTGTAATCTATGGCCCATCAATTCTCTAACAAATAAAAATGGAGAATTGACTACATCCATTATTGAAATAGCTGACAACTTGTCAGCATGTGATAGTGCTCAGCAGGGTGATCAAGCAAACGATAGCAAATCAGAAGAGGAACCTTTAACATCTTCACCACAGTATGCATGTGATTTCAAACTTTTCTTGGAAGATTCAACAGATAATGGCCACAATCTTTTCAGTCAGTCTTTGAAGCAAGTTGAGAAAGAAAAATGTTTGTGTAGTTCTTCAGCTAGTTCTAGCACAGAGTTTGTGCTTAACAAATCATGTTGTCTCAGTTTGGATTCTTCTGAAAAGGATGATGAAATAGAACTAGATAATATGAAAATTAGGAGTCAATCTAGGAGGATTGTTTCAGATAGTGAAGATGAGTATAATTCTTTTAAAAGTATTTCAGGCATAAATCTATTCAATACATCTCCCTTTCCCTTCTCTCCTGTGAAACAGTTTGATGCTTCAACTCCCAATGACATCAATCCACCTCAAAGCTGCTTTTCACCTAAAACAGATAATAGTAAAAACAAGACTATGAACTCTAGACGATCTCTGGCATCTAGGAAGTCTCTTATTAATGTGCTTTTAGAACATGTGAAGGATATGGAGGAAACACTTGACAGTAGTGAAGCAAATGGTATTGATGATTATCTGGAAGGAGTAGATGAAAACAGTAGAAAAACCTCAGACTACATAGAAGAGGATCCTTACAAAGAAAAGTTAAATTCAGAAAATAAGTCCAGCTGGTTAACTACATGTAAACCTGGTACTCTAGGTCAGGAAAGCTCTACTGGTGATCCTGAACCTTTGTCTGGTAAACAGTTGGTTGATTTTCCTCAGGATAAGGCAATGGAGACTGTGACTGAATATGAGACTCTTGTAATGCGTGGAAGAGAACTAAAAGAGTGTGGCAAAGTACAAGAAGCCCTAAACTGCTTAGTTAAAGCACTTGACATAAAAAGTGCAGATCCTGAAGTCATGCTTATGACTTTAAGTTTGTATAAGCAACTTAATAAAGCTTAAGAATATGACTAGTTTACTCCATTTTAAAGTTAAATTGAGTATGAAGTAATCTGTGTTTCCTAATTGGATTCTTTAGGAGCATTGTTAAGGTGAAAGAGAACTCAGAACAAATTTTTGTTTGTAACTCTTTTAAAAATGATGTCTTTATACATTCTCCCCCCAGAATATTTTGGTATTCTGAGCACAAATTTTTTCCCCACTCATATATGCTTACATTTTTCTTTTAGGCATAGCAGAACTATGCTAGAAAGGTTTTAAAAGTTTGCACTGAAACAAACAAAAGAAACCTCATTGTCATTAAGACAGGTTTTCAGAGTCTGTAAATCAAATACCAGGAGATTGTTCATCTTTCTGTGAAAGAGCAGCTAGCTAGACAATTCAAACCATCCACCTTTGGGTTGTTAGCGTAACACTTTAACCCAATAACCATTGCTTCCTATATTAGAAAAAAATGTAAAGGTTAAGAACTTTAAAATTTATTTTCATTTAATCATTCACATAAATTGTTTTATAAAATTATTTACAATTGATAATGCTTATCACCACATCTCATCATACCGTTATTGCACCTTGTTTATTCCTGCTGCTCAAATATTTTTCCCCTTCCCTTTTCTTCCCCCACTTCTTCTTTTCCCCCTCCCAATTTGGACATTTAAACATAACTTGTTCCAAGTTGCTAATTGCAAAAGCTATATTGTCCGTTTGTCCATTCTTCCCAGGTCTGTCTTCATGATCCTTTACAATGCTCCTTCTCTGTGCATTTTATCTCTGTTCTCCCATTCTCCTATCTGCCCCCTGTCCTCCAGAGTTTCCCACCAATTTTAACAGTTCTTGTCTTATACAATATTTGTCTTCCTCTAGACTCATCCATGTTGTGTAATATTTTACACATTCTTTAATGCTCCATAGTATTCCATCAGGTAAATGTACCACAATTTCTATATTGTTGACGGGTATTTGGGCTGTTTCCATCTTACTATTGTGAATAATGCTGTGATAAACATAGTTACTAGGTGCCTTCAAATCAAGCACAACCCTGTGAACAAAAGATCTGATAGAACCCTGTTCTATCTTATGCCATCCACACACTTCCTGACACACAAGAGCCCACTGCAGCAATCTTTGGTAATTGGAGAGCTTGGTAGACAATGACTTTTTGCTTAAACATTTTCTTTTTAAACCTGTTCTTCAACTTGTTTGGTAGCAAAGTTACAAAGTAAAAAAGTTACATTTTAAATTTAAGCTGATACATTTTATGTTTTTAGCTAAATTTACAATATTATTTATTTCCATTCAAAAGACAACACTTTTACACTTTCCATTATTCCAGGGGTGATCACTATCTCAATAAGGGGGTTTTGGTTTATAAAAAAGATGTTTTGGGTCATAATATTGCCTAAATTCATCATTCCAATCTCATGTTTCATGATTTATTCTACCACTTATACCTTTCATAACATCTTCCCTCTGGTCACTTTCAAACCTTTTGAAAAACATATCCCAAAAACCATCAGGGTGTTTTGCATTAAATTAATCATATTTTCCAGTATATGGAAGAGGTTTATCTGTAGGCTCTGGAATTCTGTAAGGGCCTCTCCCAATAGGGGGCTGCCACAAACAACCATTACCTAACAGATAAACAATTCTTCCACCTGGTGTTCTCATGGTGGGGGGCAAGGGTTTGGGTTTTTCCTTTGAAGGAGTTCTTATAAGCCCTAGAAATCTAGGAGTCTCTGGAGTGGTCATCTCTAGGATTTCTACCATTAATTCTTTTTGTTATAATGCATCATATTGTTCTTGAGAAGTTTTAGTAATGCTAAAAGAACCGGAGGTAATGTTTGCGTATCAAGGTCGTCACCTCCATTTAGTTCTTTCTGGGAACATTTAACAAACTTTTAGTAGGAACACTTTATGTAAAGAACACAGCCCTTTTCCCCTGTCCCACATAGAAAACACAAAGAGACAATAGAAGAGAAATTACAGAAAGGCCAAGAACAATCATGGAGAAAGCACACGTTCTGAGAGGCTGACTTCCTTGAAGTTTTCGCCTCAGTCGGGTGATTTTGTCACGCAGACTCCCTTGGAGTTGGTGTGGCACAAAACGACAAATTTTTAAGTGAAGTATTTCACATGGGTATGTCAAAGTGCACAGACCACAGTAACCAGAAACAACAGAAAAAGAAACATGGCTAAAGTAAAACCTGACACTTAATGTGAATGGACCAACTGCACCAATTAAGAGAAAAAGTAGCTGAATGGATTAAAAAAAAAAGCAAAGCCCATCAGTATGTTGCCTACAAGAGAAATCTAAAAAACGAAAAGATAAAATAAGGCCCCAGGAATCGATGGGATACCAATTGACATATTTCAGTTAACATGCATCTTTGAATGCACTCACTAGTCTATGCCAGGTAATTTGGAGGTGGCTGGCCAACATTCCCATTTCCAAGAAAAGTGATCCAACTGAATGTGGACATTATTGAACAATATCATTGATATCACATGCAAGCAAAATACTGCTAAAGATCATTAAAAATTATTTGGGAATAGTACTGCTGAAACAGTACATAAATAAGGAACTGCCAGAAGTTCAAGCAGGATTTAGAAGAGGCCATGACACCAGAGATATCACTGGTGATGTCAAATGGATCCTGGCTGAAAGTAAGAAATATCAGAAGAATGTCTATTTGTGCTTTAATTGATTATGCAATGGCATTTGTGGATTGCTACAAGCAAGTTGTGGCTGAAATGGAAAAGAAGGGGAATCACAGAACAATTGATAGTACTCATGCAGAACCTAAACCTGGACCAGAGCAGGGAAGCACTGCATGGTGATAAACATAGGTATACATATATCTCTTTTTGTGTCAGCTATGATTTCTTAGTATATTCATAGCAGTGGAATAGCTGGGTGCACAATCGAGCTCATGTAACCAGGGTCAGAAGAGAGTGGCTCAGTTTATAAGGAAATACAGACACATTTTACAGAACTAAGACAGTAGGACTCATGGTACCTAGGACCAAGAGCCCCGAAACTAGAAAAGTCCTTATTAGAGCTTATCTTCCTGGACCCTTCCATGAGAAACATCTTAAGGAGTTGTTCCCAGCAAAACCAAATTGTTCTGCCCAGGGACATTTTTCGATAAATGTTTCAGCAAGGTCATATGAAAACATTACCAAGATCAATAGGTCGGGTCTGGTTACTTTGTTCCACATCCCTTCACTGATAAGTTACATAGGCCATACATCACAAGCCGTTTGCTGCTTCATGCCCTTCTCCAGATGTGACTCATTTGCTCAGAGCTCTTAGCCAAGTGATCTCCAACAGATACCACTTTTTTTTCATACGACGCATCATGGTCAGGATTGGGAAGGCTTTCTTTGCTGTATGAGACATACTCTGATTTTGCAGAATATACTTAAAAAACATCCAATTAAGACCAATCTGACTAGAAAATTTACACTGTAACTTTTAAAACATGTGACTGGATAAAAATGCTTTCTGTAATGGTTCAGCAAACTCGAGCTGCCCAGGCTGGTATCTTTTTGTGTGAGAACTAATAAAGAATATAATTTTGCAATTAATATCAAAATTACATTGGAAGGGAGCTCTGGTGGCCAAGTGGCAAGAAGCTGCACTGCTGGTTTGACTTTGCCAGATGTTGTGTTGAAGGAAGGGCAGTCTCCTGTGCCAGTCGGGTTTGACTTGATGGTACACACCAAGAAAAAAAAAACTGGGAGTAAAGGCATCCAAAAAGGGTGGTATTTTCTAAATTTGCTCTCCTAGTCAGATTTCCACATTCTGTTGGGTCACTTTTCTTTGGAATGGGACAAATAAAGATCTCTTCCAGTCAGTTGGCCAAGTGGTTGTCCTACAGATTTCTTGGCACAGTTTGGTGAGCACATCTAGGGCAGCATCTGTTATTTGAAATATATCAATTGATATACCATCTATTCCTGGGGCCTTATTTTTTGCCAATTCCTTCAAAGCAGTTTGAACTGCATCATAGGTTCTTCTTGCTCATATGTTGTTTCATGAAATTCTTCTGTGTGCCAATTCTTTTGGTACAGTGACTATATTCTTTCTACCTCCTTTTAATACAACTGGATCATTTCATATTCTGCCCAAAGCATCCTTAAGTATAGCAACTCGAGGTTTGACTTTGTTCTTCAGTTCTTGAGGTTAAAAAATGCTGAGTGAATGTACACCCATGTTGATTGCAGCTTTGTTCACAATAGCAAGCAGTTGGAAACAACCTAAGTGCCCACCAACAAACGAAAGGATAGAGAAGCTGTGGTATATTCACACAATGGAATACTATGCTGCATTGAAAAGCAAGGAACTCATGCAATATTATTCACAATAGGTGACTCTGGAGGACATTATGCTGAGTGAAGTATCTCAGTCACAAAAGGACAACTACTGCATGGTGCCACTGTTGTAAAACAGGACTGACCTTGGGGTTGGGGAGAGACTGAGAAAGATGGGTTCAATAATGTATACTGCATTGAAACAGACGAGGGAGAAAACTGTTTAAAAGGGATATGTGATAAGGTATTTTTGTCATGACAGTAGTCTAGAGCAAAGGCTACATGGTGGAGTGGACCTGGGGGAAGTTTTGTAACACAATGAAAGAATTTTACTTTTCCAAGAGGGTAGTGCTCTGGGGTGGAGGTGGGGAGTTGGGAGGGGAGAAAAGTGCAACAATGAATGAATGGAAATCCAGTCTCTAAATTTTTACTGAAAAAAATTTAGATGAGGAATGCAATGGATTTATAACTGCTCATGTTAATAACACTATATCATGGCATGGAGGAGGAATAGTGGAACTGTATCCACATTTACAGTATTCTTCATACCAAAACCATTTATGAAAAACAGGAACTGCATTGGAACATGTATCTATGGATTGGAAAT